GTGGGCCCAGGGGCCACGCGGGAGGGCTGCCAGGAGCTGGCAAACTACGCGAGCGTAAAGAACGACCAGGGCACTGGGAGCCGTCTCAGCCCACTTTCCAGCCTTCCTGTTTCCTCCTCAGGGCTAACCGAACTCAGCAACCACTGCGGGCGCTGAAGCCACACTCCCAGCCTGCACCCAGACCCACGGCCGGGCACGGGGGAGGTCACACACGCCCCGGGGCACAGAACGAAAGGGTCAGCACAGCACTTCCAAGCCAGGGCATGGGAGGAGGTGAGGGGCACTAGGAGGAGACACACAAACTGCAAGAGAGCAGCAGGTGGCAATAAAGGGAACTTCAAAGATGAGACCCAGAACACGAAGTGCCAGGCAGGCAGCCCGACACATGGGGACGTCCCAGTGACACCTCTTAGCGCCTGCAACGCTTGCTGGGGTCTGCCCTTTCCACCTCCCCCAGGAGCTATGGACAACGCCGGGAGGAAATAAAATTGCCATTAACCCCCCAGGGCAGAGAGAAAAGAAAGATCTCTGAGGACTGGAGGTCAGCTCAGTGCAGCCTCGCTGCCACGTGGACGGCCCTGGGCAAAAGCAGCGGAACCGGGGTCTGCGCCTGCTGGCCTCCCTGTGCCCTGCAGGGCCCCCCCCCCCACCGGAGCCAAGACCGGATGCTGACGACAGCAGGCCGAGGGTCAGCTGGCCCCCCTGTATCACCCGGCGCTGGGCGCTGACTGCAGGCAGGAGCCCCGAGGAAAGGTCTGGAAAGGTCTGGCTCCTGGGGCCGCCTAGCGCTTCCCCAAATACCCTGGCCTCAGACCTCACTGACGCCCCACTCTGAGGATTCTGCAAGTTGTTTTGATTTCTTACTTGACCAAGAGGTAACTATTTTTAATAAGATAGATTATTTTGGTCTTTATTCTTAGTTTCCGATATTACTGCAAGCCTATGTCTGCATTGCCACTCTTTCCTCGGGCCTGACGCGCTGCCTGCTCCAGTTACAAACACACGGGCTGTGTACGGGCGCAGCTCTTCAGGCGCGGACCATCTTCAGTCAGCAGGGGGAGCATGCCTAGGGGCGCAGCTGGCCCGACGCCAGGGGCTCTGGGCCAGAGCACTGCCTTCACAACAGAGGGCCGGGCCACCACCAGGAATAATTCAGAATCTGTAGGCACCAATAACATGGCCTTAAAACACATAAAACAAAACCCCGGCCAAACCACACTCTCCAGGGGAGATTTTCATATGCCTCCGGCGACAGAAACAGAACCCAAGTCAGCAAGCATAATGAGGGCTCTGACCTGACAGACAGGTATAGAACTTGTGCAGAAAAATACTCCTTTCAAGTGCCCCGTGGACCAGACGTGACCGTATGTTGGACCACAGGACAAGTGGCCACTGTTCAAGGGACAGAGGTCCTACACACGGTATGATCTCTCATAAAAACTAGCTATGGTATTAACAAGTGCACGTGGTCAGAGGAACAAGCACAGAAGGAACGTAAAAGCATCCTGTGATGTAATCGTTTCAAGCCGTGAGCTGCCCTCTGGGTGCCCGGGCACCGTGGCCGGTGATGGTGACGTGACAGTGGTGGGTGGCGGCAGCCCATGTGACTTGCTGGCCATGCCCACCCATGGGGGAGACGGGTCCTTGAGTGCGATGCGACGGAGAAGGCGGCCAGCCGCAGCTAGGGCCCCCGCGAGGAGCAGCCCTCCCGCCCCCCACCCCCACGCACAGGCATGGGCGCCCCTCGTGTGCCCTCCACAGAATCGGAGACCTGTGGCAACCTGCCTCCAGCAAATCTCTTTGTGCCACTTTTCCATCAGCATTTGCTCATTTCGTGTCTCTGTGTCATATTTTGGTGACTCTCCCAGTATTTCAACCTTTTTCATGACTGTCCCCATCAGTGCTCTGTGGCCAGCAATCTTTGATGACGTTACTGCTGTGACTGTTTCGGGCCTCCGCGAGCTCCACCCATGTAACGCGGTGACCTTGATAAAGGCCGTGGGCGCTCCGATGGCTCCCCAACAGGCCGCTCCCCGGTCTCTCTCCCTCTGCTCGGGCTTCCCTGGCCCCTGAGACACAACAGTATTGACATTAGGCCAATTACGAACCTACAGTGGCCTCTGAGTGCGCAAGTGCAAGAGTCGTGTGTCTCTCACTGTAAGTCAAAACCGGAAACGGGGCCGCGGAGTGAGGACGGCGTGTCGGAAGCCGAGACAGGCCAACAGCCTGGCCTCTGGCATCGAACGATGAGCTGAGTGGTGAACGGGAAGGGAAAGTTCCTGGAGGAAATTAAAAGTTCCACTCCAGCGAGTGCACGTGCGATGAGAAAGTGAGACGGCCTCACTACTGGTGCGGAGACCGTCTGAGGGGTGCGCACAGAAGACGGGACGAGCCACAGTCGTGTCCCCTGAAGCCAAAGCCAGATCCAGAGCAGGGCCCCGACTCCTCAGTTCTCCAAGGGCCGAGCGGGGAGGGAGCTGCGCAGCAAAGTTCGAAGTCGGCAGAGGCGGGCGCGGTAGGTGTAAGGAGGAAGCCGGTCCGTGGTTCACAAGTGCGAGGGGAAGCAGCCAGTGCTCGCTGATCCAGAAGCTGTGGCACCTCATCCAGATGGCTGAGCAGGACCACGAATGAAGGCGGCCCCACGAAGTAGCACATTTTCAGTGTAGATGGAACAGCCTCCTATTGGGAGAAGACAGCATCCGGGACTTCCCAGCTAGGGAAGCAAGGTCGATACCCAGCCTGAGAGCTTCCAAGGACAGGCTGGCCCTCCTGCTGGGGCTAACGCAGCCGGTTAAAGCCGGTGACTTTAAGTGGAAGCCAGTGCTCACGAACCGTCCTGAAAACCCGGGGCCTTAAAATCCCCCTGTGCTCTGCCTGTGCGCTATCGGTGGGCCAGCGAGGCCTGGACGACAGCACGCCTGCTCACAACACATTTGCTGAATATCTGAAGCCCACTGTTGAGACCTGCTGCTCAGAACAAAAGATTTCTTCCAAAACGTGACTGCTCGTTGACGGTGCACCAAGCGCCCAGGGGTCCGATGGAGACAGACGAAAAGAGTCACGTGTTCGTCCCGCTGGCTCAACATCCATCCTACAGCCGCTGGAACAAGGAGCCATTTTGACTCTCGAGTCTTATTATTTAAGAAACGCATGTCGTAAGGGCTGTAGCCGCCGTAGACAGTGATTCCTTGATGGGGATCTGGGCACAGTACACTGAAAACCTTCTGGAAAGGAGTCACCACCCTAGATGCCATTAAAAACGTTCGTGGTTTGGGGCACCTGGGTGGCTCAGTCGGTTAATCATCCAGCTTCAGCTCAGGTCATGATCTCACGGTTCGTGGGTTTGAGCCCCATGTCGGGCTCTGTGCTAACAGCTCGGGGCCTGGAGCTGCTTCAGATTCTGTGTCTCCCTCTCTCTCTGACCCTCCCCTGCTGATGCTGTCTCTCTCAGAAATAAATAAAACATTAAAAAAAAAAAACAAACATTCATGGTTTGGGGCACCTGGGTGGCTCAGCTGGTTGAGCGTCAGATTCTGGCTCAGGTCATGATCTCATGGTTCATGAGTTTGAGCCCCGTGCTGGACTCACTGCTGTCAGTGTAGAGCCCATTTGGGATCCTCTGTCCCCCTCTCTCTCTGCTCCTCCCCCACTCACTCTCTCTCTCTCTCTCAAAAAGTAAATGTTAAAAAAAAAAAAAAAAGAACATTAACGGTTCAGGGGAATGGCTCAAAATACGAACAGGGGCCTGGAGGCAGTTGCGTGACGGCGAGGGGCTCCCGACTCAGGGGAGGAAGTCACTGCAGACGCGGGGGAAGCAGTAAGGACTGGAAAGGGGGCCTGGGCACGTGACTGAAGTGCTACAAGCTCAGGATGGAGCAGCGAGGGTGAGGCGCTGCTTCTGACGGGCAGGCACAGCATGTGGCTCTTGAGGTGGAATCTGCTGCGGGTGGAGACGCCACGAAGGTCGTTGACATGATGACAGAGGACGCAGACTGTCACACACTGAGCCGATCCCGCGGCTGTGGGGCCTGAGAGGATGGACCCCTGTGTTCAGAGCAGTTCTGTTGTGGGTACAATGCTGTCAGGGCATCGCAGGCCACAGAGAAGTCGTTCACCATAGGCCATCCTGGCAGCGGACGTCATTGTGTTCCGGAGTCGCCACGGCCTCTCCGGCCTCCAGCCCCACCTGCCCGGCCAGCAGCCAGCACCATCGAGGCAGGCCCTCCACCAGCAAAAAGATGCTGACTGGCTGAGGGCTCAGATGATGGTTAGCATTTTTAAGCAACAAAGGATTTTTTTTTAATGTTTATTCATTTTTTGAGAGACAGAGAGAGAGACAGAGCATGAGCGGGGGGGGGGGCCAGTGAGAGACAGGAAGACACAGAATCTGAAGCAGGTTCTAGGCTCTGAGCTGTCCCCAATGTGGGGTTCAAACCTGCGAACTGTGAGATCATGACTTGAGCTAAAGTCACATGCTTACTGAGTGAGCCATGCAGGCGCCCCATAAGCAACACACAATTTTTAAACTGAGGTATAAACACTGACATTTCTAGACATGATGCTACTGTACACTTGAGACTGAGACTGCTGTGTAGACATAACTTCTACGTGTGCTGGGAAACCAGCGTTGTCGCGGTCACTGTACTGTGGTGCCTGGAGCTGACCCTGCAGTGTCTCTGAGGTGTGGCTTTAAGAGTGGGGGGGGGGGCACTGAATCCGGAGGCACTCTCACAGGCCCTAACGCTCCTGAGAGTGTCCCCAGGCAAAGGTGTGAGAAGCCCTGGCAGAGCGTGCCCTGCCTTAGCTGCGCAGCTCACGGCATCCTTGGTGCTGCGAGACCGGACACTTTCCCTGGAATCAGGAAGCAGACGCTTCTGTTCCCCGTGGTGCTGAAGGTGACGGCCAGGGACCCCCGCAGGCCGCCCGCTCCTGCCCTGCCCCACCGTCTCCGTCCCACCCCCGACCTCTGCCCTCCTCCAGAGCCCCCGCTAGGGAAATACCATTCTGCAGGGTTTGTGCTCTCGACTCCTTCCCCAGGTTCACATGGAAGCCGCCACCGAGGGTTGGGGTTTTGCCAGCACCTAGGAAAACAAACCAGCCTGATTAGTCGAAACTTGGCAAAAAAGATCCATCCCAACAGATCTCCCCTGCATGGGGCATCTCTGGAGCCGGGACCCAGTGGGACCAGCATTCACGGAGCGAGGCACCCCCTCTGCCCCGCCAGCAGGGCTGCAGCCTTGACCTGGAGCGCAGCAGGTGGAACCGTGGCCACACGCACTCTCTAACCATGTTCCAGACCGCTGCCACGTGGCGGCCAGAGAGAGCACAGCGCACCTCCAAACTACAGCTCTCCCCTCGGCCCTCTGTGCGCTCTGGGCCAGCCCGTTCACAGGACCTACGCCTGCAGTGACTGTGGGCTTCCGGAGGCTACGGGCGACGTCCTATGTGGCCCAGATCCTCAGAGCCGCCTGGTCCAAAGGAGGCACATGCACCTCCAGCCACCTGTGTGCTGCCCACCCACAGAACAGCAGCCTGGGGAGCCCCGCCCCACAGGGTGGCCGTAGCCAGACCTGCAGGCACCCGCCTCGGATCTCCCACCAATGCTCAGGTGTCCCAGGAAGCTCCATGCCCTCTGCTCTGCAGGCACTGGGGCTGGGACCTGTGCCAGGCGGAGGTCTGGGTTGGGCTAGACTTACAAACCCCGCTGCCGCAGCGAGATGCTCAGGCCACAGGAGGCAGCGGGCTAGGAAATGCTGCCCATCCTGCAGGCCAGTGCGTGTGACCAAGTACACACCAAATGATTAGGGGCACCTCCCATCTGACACAGGGCATGCTGGAGGGAGCGGGACGCACGTGGAATGACAGGGAAACTCAGAAGCGGCAGGGACCTGGGCGTCCTGACCCCTGACGTCTGGGAACAGGCCCCCAGGGGAAGCACATGGCCCATCCCCTGGGGCCAGCAGGCACCGCACAGGCGAGGCAGAGTAAGCGTGGCCAGCACACCTGTGACAGCAACCCAGTCCCAAAACAATGTGAATGAGAAAGGATCTCAGCAAAGTGGCTCCAAAGCTTATCCGGCAGCAAAAGTGAGTAAGATTAGCCAAGAAAACTTTGAGAAGAGCAATGAGTGAGCTCTGCTGAGCAGCTGCTGGGTCACGGCCGGCGGCAGGTGGTGGCTGGAGCAAGGCTGGGGGGCAGGCAGGCGGGCCGGAGCAGGGCTGGGGGCAGGCAGGCCAGCTGGAGCAGAGCTGGGGGCAGGCAGGCCAGCTGGAGCAAAGGTGGGGGGCAGGCAGGAGCAGGGCTGGGGGCAGGCAGGAGCAGGGCTGGGGGCAGGCAGGAGCAGGGCTGGGGGCAGGCAGGCCAGCTGGAGCAGAGCTGGCTGGGGGCGGGGCAGCTGGGGGCCCTCCCCAGGAGAGCCGGGCCCAGGACAGGTGTCACTCATAACCTGTAGACCATTTTGCTGTCACTGGGACTGATGCTTCCTACTGCCACCGTAACAGATGGCCACAGACTTCACGTCCTCAAGAGGCTGGTCACAGAGGATAGGGAGGGAGGGGGCCATCTGTGTGTCCTCACGGGGCTGGGGAGGGTCAGGAAGGGCCCAGAGGGGATTCATCTACCTGGACCAGCAATAGGGGGCTTCCCAAACCAGCCGTGTGCCACCTCTGGGCTGCGCAGAGCCCGCCACAGACTCACTGGACTGAGGCCAGGAGTCTGCATCTCCTTCCCTCCCATTTTGGTGGTGGAGGCATTTTACAACTTTAGGATTTTTACCTCTGCGATCTTTTCTATACCAGAACCACTGGGGAGGCCCAATCACTCTCAGCACCGGACCAGGACGGCCTCTTTGTTTCTATTTTAGAACAACAGAAATATTGCCACGTTGTTTTAATTAAAATGGATGTGTACTTTCAATAAGTAATTGGGCTAGTACATGAGAAACAGGATGATAAAATGGTGTAAAGCCCCACCTTCTGGGAACAAGGACCCCGGGGGCCCATGCTCCCTGCATAGACACGGACAGAAGGCGGCCAGGCCAGGTCCCTCAGGGATGCAGTGAACAGCAAGAGTGGGGGCTTCGCTCTGGCCAAGTGTTAAATGCAATCTCCTTAGTCCGGAAAATCCCGCAAAGCCGCCAGAGGTCACCCCCCCCACATGCCACCTCTGCCCCCTCCTCCCCTCTCCTCCATTACTCTCCCCTGCACCCTGCTCACCACCCTTCCTTATCTCTCCCTGAGGGCCCAGGCCCCACCCCCCAGTTCCCCAGCCTGGGGCCAGGGCACCTCCGGGGCTGGTCTCCTGCCTCCTGCTCACATGTGTGCACACATACACGGGCGCACACGCACACCAGCCTGTGCTCTCCATGCTCCCCGTGCGTAGCCCCAGCACATTGTGAGCTTCCAGGAGACACACGGACCCGGTTCCCTCCGCAGACCCAGTTCCCTCTGGCAGGGCGGGATGGGGGTGTCAAAGCCTGCTTGCCAGACTGATGCAGATTCTCATACTCAGCAACCACCACCCACCGGGGTTTGGTTACGAGAGACAGAATCTGGAATGCCCCCGTAGGTAGTACAAAAGTGCTTATTTAGCAAGTCTCAGCCCACTGAAACCACGAGCCTAAGGGCCCCCTGAAGTGTGAAAAAAAGCTGGAGGATTACCTCCGGTCACAACTGCCAAGGTATGACATTCTTGGCCTTTAGATCTCCTTCACGATATTCCCTCTACTTGTAAAACATTTGACAGTTTCTCTAACAAACTCCTGCAACAAAAAATCCAAGCTGGAATCAACTGGTGGAAGGTACGACCAGGCCAAGACCGCCCCCTTGTGGACAGCGGCGGAGCAGCAGATGCCTAGGTCTGACCCAGAGACAGGGGTGCACTGCCATGAGCATCAAAGACAAAGCCAGTAACACCAGGAAGAGAAAGGCAGGGAAGAGGCAGGGCCCTGGCATGAGCGAAGGGCCTCAGCACCCCAGAAAGACGCGTGTACAGATCCGCCTGTCCTCCATTTCCCCCATAAGCTCCACCAACACTCGTAAGCAAAAACCCTAATCGCTTTGTATTAATTTTATTTAAAGGGAGGGTTTCTGCCTAATTCCTTCTCAAGAGAGGCCCCGGAAGCAGGCTTCAGAGGTCCTGCAGCCGAAGCCCCCACGTGGACACGCACCCCTCTGGGATGCCCAGCTGGCCGTCTCCAGGACCACAGGGAGTCTGGAGTCCCGGGCCACAGCCTGGACACGGATCTGGGGCGGTGATCAACAGCTCCACGCACGCCACAGCCGAGACTCCGCTGGACCCGGCGCGGTTCCCCAAGAACCGCCTTAGGGAAAGTACGCAGCGCAGAGCGCAGTAAACGTAAAAGGCTGCAGATGACGTCTAACGAGAAGAGTCCTCTCTCTCCATGAGCCTCTAGGAAGAGTCCAGCCAGCGTTTCCTAGGAACAAGCACTTTGGCCAGGAGCTCCGTGGGGCTTTGAGAGGCCACAGGATAGAGCAGATGCAGGATGGCGCCCGGTGCTCAGTGGCCTGGGACATGGGTGGGCTGTGCCTGGGAGAGCCACCTGTGGGCAGGGCACGCTAGGCGGGTGGGTGCAGGCCCCACCCCTCTTTAGGGCACAGGGCCCTCCCCGTCCAGGCTGGGGGTGCAAATATGACTGGGGGGTTCATTCAGCCCAAATGTGTGGGAAGTGCGTCACGATGCGGAACGGTGACGACACAGGCACTTATAAACGCCCTCACATAAGAGACGGAGTCTGCAGTGGGGAGCAGCCATGACTACGGAAGCCATGGGAAGGACCCCTCCCCCCAGGGAGCAGCAGCCACAGGCTCCTCTGAGGGCCTCTGACAACCCCAAGGGGAGGCGCTCAGGAGCAGAGGGCGCCCCGGGAAGGAGCTGGGGCTCAGAGGCCCTCGGGTGGACGTGCGGCACAGGCCACTCAGAGCCCATCCGTCTGGCCCTGCCGGGAAGCCCTGCTCTGCCCCTGGTCCCGGACACACTTGGGGCGAGCCCCTCCCGGGAGAGCAGCAGGACCCTTCCTCAGGGCCCCACTGAGGCCCCGGCCACTCCGGCCACACGGAGCTGCCTGCAGTCCCCACGTGCCCACCCCTTCTGCCGGCCGGTCTCCTCCCTGTCGCCTGTGCCCAGCGGCTGAAGGACTTGGCCCGGGTCTCCCCAGTACTGCTCACACCACCACCTCTAGACTCTGGCCTCACACTCTGCTGGTCCGAGAACCAAGGCATCAGGGTGACCGGAGCTCCTCGGCCTCTCTAGTCCAGGCCCGGCGCACAGTGGGTGCTCATGGGAAAGGCTCCGGCACGATCAGGAGCCCACAGTGGCGGGGCCTCTGGCCACACGGCCCTGGGTGTCTAATTGACATAGTCCCAGGTACACCCCTGTCCACACTCAATTCTCAAAGACTAAGAACGAATGCTCAGGAAAGACGGTGACCAGGGGACCCCGCGAGGACAGCTCGGAAGGCAAGCTCAGCTTTCAGGGCAAGTCCAGGGGAGGGGGGCAAGGCAAGACCCGAGAAGAGCCAGGTGGCTTGTGCTCGGAGGCCAGGGCACTGGGAGTAACCCAAGTCAACAGCCCAGCCATCACTACCCTGAGGGGAAGGGAGGCCAGGCGGCAGAGGGGCTACTGACGCCCCTCCCCTCTCCTGGACATGCTCCTGCCAGGGAACAGGCCCCCAGGACAGAGCCAGCTGGGCCGGGCAAGTGTCCTCGCGCCCCCTTACGGCATGCTTTCCAACAGTGCTGGGCTCCGAGGCCGTGCTCACGAGGCTGTGCCGTCAACTTCATCGCATACAGGTGGGAGCACATCTGTCACGTCCAGAGCTGTCGGGGTGTCCACCGCCTCTACGGCCTGTTCCCCGTCTGCAGGGAGGGCAGGCGCCATCATCAGGTGACCAGGTGTGCTCAGCACGGTGCCCTTCCACGGAGAACCCTAAGTGTCAGTTCCTATGGCCACTTGTTCTTACTACTGTCGTTTCTCACTCTCCAGTGACGGGAGGGACCAGCTGACAACGTGTGACAAAGCAACAGCACAGTGCTGGGGGGCCTCGACCCCAGCAGTCCCGAAAGTCACCCCAGGACACAAAGACATGCGCTGCACCAGAGCTGATGGGGAGAGACAGGGCAGAGAAGCCAGTGAGACCCAAAGCTGCTTCTTTGAAAAGATCAATTAAAGTGATAAACTTCGGGCAAGAGACACAAAAGGAGTAAGAAGACGTGAAAGGAATCAGGGACATGACTGGGGGGCCTGCAGACGTCAGAAGGATGATGACGGAGTGGTACCAACAGCTCTGAGCGGATCAATTCAAGTACTTTCACCAAGTGGGCCGAATCCTTAAAACCACACACTCACCCACGGGGAAAGACATAACCTAAAGTGTAAACAGCCGACAGCTATTAAGATACTGAATCCAGAGTTAAAAACCTGGGGGAGGAAACAAAAAACCTCTTAGGCCCAGATGGCTACACTGGTGAATTCCACCAAATGATCCAGGAAGAAATAACACTGGTTCTACACAGTCTCTTCCAAACAACAGAAGAGGAGGGGACATTCCCCAACGTGTCCCAGAAGACGCATCACCGAGGTATCAAGCCAGGGACGCTGCAGGAAAACTACACACGACCATCCACTGAGCAGACTAAGCCCGCAGCGCAGCCGAGAGTACCGCTCCAGGACCCAGCGGGTTGACCCCAGCAAGGCAGGTGCGGCATGCACTTGGCCTCGCAGATTGAGAAGTAAAACGCGAGTTGATACAAGAAAAAGCACTGGACAAAATTCACTAGCCACGCATGACAGAAACTCAACCAACCAGGAGCAGAAAGAGAGCGCCCCCAGCTTTACTAACAGACATCCACCCAAACCTACGGCCGCCGTCAACGCTGCGCAGGGGACGCTGAGCGCTCCCGACACGGGACAGAAGCGTGTCTGCCGTGAGGCAAGAAAGAGAAACAAAAGGAAGAAGTAAAACAGCCCCTGTTTATAAACAACATGACGGTCTGAATACAAAACGCCAAGAGACGGGCTTTGAGAACTCCCAGAACTCACAGCTAGGCTTAGCAAAGCCACAGGAAGCAGGCCAACAGCAGAAACCATATTACTACTGTCCCAGCAAAGAACAATTAAAAACTGAATTTTAAAAAATAGCCCTCCGCACCGCTCGCTCTGTACCGGAGGCATCGGCCCCAGAGAAGTGAGAGCAGGTTCACAGAAGGGGCCGCACGAGGCTGTCACTAGCTCTGCTCCCCACCTCCCCAGAGTGACCACCGTCCTCTGCCCTCGGCCCGACACCCTGGGCGAAGTCACAGGCGCCAGGCTGGGGCAAGATGCCAGTCCCCAAAGGTGGGGACCAAGAGCACGTCCGCCAGCGGCTGGCCCGGGACAGGGAGGCTCGCGAAGCCGGCGGGCGGAGATTCGGGTCTACGCAACTTTTCTTTCTTCACCCCTGAGCCCAGCTGCGGCGACGGTCACAGCGCTGGTGACCGTCCATCGTTACCGGACGCTTAGAGAGGCAGGATGGGACACGGTGATCTTGCTCCTCTCCTATTGTGAATTCCGTTATTTAAAAAAACTGCGGGCACGGAGTTCACAGGGGGCGGTGCTCCAGCCCCCCCCCCGGGCGCCCCGCGCCCCCCGCGTCACCTGGCGAACCCTCGGGTCCCCGCGCGCCACCCCCCGAGTGCCCCGGCCCACGCGCGGACTCACCGTCCAGAGACACGAACTGGCCCACGGCCGACGAGCCTCCGCCGCTGTTCTCCACGAACTGCACCTCGGACACGATGATGTTGTCCTCGAGCACCGAGCCGCAGCCGGTGCACACGGCGTCGCCGCGCGCCGCGTCAAGCTCGATGTCCGTGCCGCCGCAGCCGCGGCACACGCGGCCCGTCATGCTGGCGGCTCTCGCGCAGGCCCGTCCCCCGCCGCCGCTCCGGCCCCGGCCCCGGCCCGGGTCCGCCTGCCCGCGCGTCGGCCCGCCCGACTCTCGCGAGGCCGCCGCCGCCGCCGCCGCCGCCGAGCCCGCCGATTCGCAGCGGCAGATTCGCCGCGAACGCCGCGGTCGCGCCGCCCGCAACGGTCTCTCCCGCGCGTCGGGGACAGGCACCGGGGCTGCGGCGGGGCCGCGAGGACTCGAACCCGTAACCTCCGGACCCGTATGCCGCTACCGGGCCTCAGAACCAGTAACCAGCAGGCCTCACTGGCGGCGGCGCGCGAGCGTCAGCGGTGGGCGGGGCCAGGCCTGTGGGCGGGGCTTTGAAACGGAGAGCCTCCCGGAACGGGACCGGGAGCGGTGGGCGGGACCAGGGCGATAGGCGGGGCTTTCGGCGGTGAACGCCCCCAGGGCAGGGACCCAGAGCTACAGTCTGGGCCGTGAGTGGTGGGCGGGGCTTTGGGGGCCCGCCCCCTGGGACAGGACCGGGAGCGGTGGGCCGGGCCAAAGCGGCGGAGGGAGCTTTGGGGGGGGTGAGGGTCCCCGGGACGGGATTCGGAGTGTGGGCGGGGCTGCGGGGGGTGGGCGGAGCTGTGGTTGGTGAGCGACCCCTGGGACGCCCCCGGGAGCGGTGGGCGGGCCCAGGCCGCTGGGCGGGGCTTCGGCGGGAGAGCCGCCTGGGACGGCAGCGGTGGGCGTGGCCAGAGTGACGCGGGAAGCCTCGGCGGGGAGCGCCCCGGGGACGCCCCCGGGAGCGGTGGGCGGGGCCCGGGCAGGTGAGTGCGGGGGCGCCCGCGGGCCTGGCGGCGCGGGTCGGGGGTGGAGACGCCGGCCGGGGGCGCCCCCTCCTTCGCGGTCCTGGCGGGTCTGCCCGGCGGCTCGCCCCGGCTCCCTGGCTTCCGCCTGACGATGCCCCAGCGCCCCCGCGCGCCCCGCCGGCTGTTGTGTGTGCCCCCAGAAGCGCCCACGGCCTTGAGCCAAGCCTGTTACCTGTGCCAGGCTTGTGTGTGCCCGACCCGCAAGTATCAGCAAACATGTGCCGTCGGCATGAGGCGCCGGCGCCCTGAGGAGTGTGCGGGGCGCCGCTGTGTAAGCCCCCGGGTCTGTCCGTGGGGCGCAGGCCGCGCCCGGCTCCGTCGGAAGGCGCCCCGTCCCACTCGGGCCGTTCCTCGGGCGGTCTGCGAAGTCCGTGTAGTCCCAATCAAAATGCCAGCTGGGTTTTCAGATAACTTGGTAAGGTAACCCCACAGTCATCCGGAACAGAGCCTTCACAGGCCTGGCTACACTCTGCCGGAACCGGGGAGCGGCCCGGCGGCTGACCTCGGCCGGTCCCTGCTGCGGGGTCGGGAGTTCGAGCCTCGGGCCCGTCCTGGCAGAGCGGCGCCTGCCGCAGGCCTGTCTCTGCCCCCTGCTCGGCTGCGGTCCCTCATAGCTATAGCACTTTCTTAGAGAAAAGAAAACAAACAAGGAGGGGGAAATTGCCCTTTGTATGTCAAAATATTATATCAAATTGCTGGCAGTAAAACCACGGGCTATTTGTCCCGGGGCAGACACACGGACAAGTGAAATAAAACCAGCAGTCCGCAAAGCCAACGGCACACACAAACCTAGGGACCTCCGGGCGCCGGGGTGGCTCAGCTGGGTTGGCCTCTGACCCTGATTCAGCTCAGGCCGCGATCTCCCGGCTGGCGGGTCAGAGCCCGGCACCAGGCTTTGGGCTGACCCTGTGGAACCTGCTGGAGATTCTCCTGTCTCCCTCCCTGCCCCTCCCCCACTAATTCTCGTTCTCTTTCTAAATAAATAAACAAACAAAAACTTAAATTTAGGGGTCTCAAATCATTAAGGAAAATGATACTCTTTTTTTTTAAATGTTTTATTTATTTCTGAGAGAGAGAGACATCGTGAGCAGGGGAGGGTCAGAGAGAGAGGGAGACACAGAATCTGAAACAGGCTCCAGGCTCTGAGCTGTCAGCACAGAGCCCGACACGGGGCTCGAACTCATGAACCATGAGATTATGACCTGAGCTGAAGTTGGATGCTTAACCGACTGAGCCCCCCAGGCGCCCTGTAAAAAAGATAGACTCTTGAGTGGTATTGCATTTTCCTCCAGTTAGAATAGGAAAAGGGTAAATTGAGTCCCAACTTCACACTGTTCTAAAAATAAATTTTGGGGCGCCTGGGTGGCTGAGTCTGTTAAGCCTCCGACTTTGGCTCAAGTCATGATCTCACAGTTCATGAGTTCAAGCCCCGTGTCAGGCTCTCTGCTGACGGATCAGAACCTGGACCCTGCTTTGGATTCTGTCTCTCTCTCTCTTAAACATTAAAAAATTTAAAAATAAATTCCAAGTAGCATTAAGGGCTAAAAGTAAAAACAAGACCAAGACTAACGGAATCAAATACAAGAGGCTATGGTAAGTCTCCCGTGTTTATGTGTTGTGAGGGGGTGGCTGGCATCGGAGACCCTGCCCTGGTGTGCAGTCCCGGACCTCACGGGTACCTGCCAGAGCCCGGCCCGCCGCCCTCACCACAGGCCATGTGCAAGCAAGACCGTGCGGCTTGAACACAGTGCCTGCACGAGTCGTGACGACATGCACAGCCACCCAGGAGGCTACAGCCAGAACTTACCTGCTTTGACAAGCCTAAACAAGTGGCTTTTCTAAATAAAAATATTTCAAACATAACTTAAAATAGGGAGAAAGCAGGAAAAATTAATCATACCAAAGTTCAGCATTTTCCCATACTGGCGACTTGGTTCATCTCTTTGGTGTTTTTTTTTTTTTTTTATCTTGTTTTGAGTTGTTAAGTCTGTGCTGTGCGGGAGCCGTCCCCAGGCTGCTCAGACTCCACTCCATTCCCCCCGCACCCCCCACCCGCCGGCCTGGGGGTCATCTCAATGCCAAGCAGATTTTATACCCCTCGTAAGCAGTGGTTCGTAACACGCACAGAAACAGCCTCATCTCTGGTCTCCTACAAGTCTCCTTTCTTTCTCACCAGGGTCTCTGAGGTTTGTTTGCTCTGAGGTGTTCTTTTTCACTGCAGAGTCAGGAAGCCGGGGCTGTTGCACCCAACATGATGCACCCAGGAAGACCCCAGGGGAGCTCCACGGGCGTCCAGAGTATGCACTCGCTCAACATGGTGCATTAATTACCAATTGCTAGTGACAAATCACCACACGGCTGGGCAGCTTAAAAAAATGAACACCTGTCGTCTCGGGCCACTTCTCAGGGCCGGGGGTCCGGGAGAGCCTGGCCGGGGGAGGTGGCTTGGGGTCTCCCCAGGAGGGAGGTTGCAGTCTCTCTGACTCGGGTGGCTCTGGCCGGTCCAGCTGCTGGCGCGTCTCCCACAGCCAGTGAGCCCAGAGCGGGGACAGAAGCTGCGGGGCTTTGATGGCCGACCCGCGGCGGGAGCCAACACTCCAGGGGGTGGTGAGCCCGGCCCCCTGCTTGGAGGAGGACGGGGGAACTGATTTCATTTTGTCTTGTTTTATTTTTAAATGTTTACTTATTTATTTTGAGAGGGAGGGAGGGAGTGCGAGCAGGGGAGGGGCAGGGAGAGAGGGAGAGAGTCCCAGGCAGGCCCCGCGGTGAGAAGGATGGGAGCTCGGGGCGCCATCTCACCAGCCGTGAGAGAACAAGACCTGAGCCGAAACCAGAGCCGAAGGAATCACGACGCTGAGGTCCCAGGCGCCCCGGGAACATTAAAGGTGCCACACGCCGCGCACCTCACCCGACCTGACGAGGCCACCTGCCTCTGACGTGTCGTGGCCACGCCAGGGGATCAGACCTGAGCCGCTGCGGGCTCCTGGGAAGCCCCGGCTGCGGCCGGGGTGGACGAGACACCCTCGGGCCCGGGCTGGGGGTCCCGGAGAGTGAAGCATCACCCACAAGGGACCAGACACTAAGCTACGGGGACAGAGCATGGGGGCAAGCCCAAGACCACAGCCGCGGAGCCGGGGCGCCCGGAGCCCCGCTCTCTCTGCCTACCTGTCCTCCGTGTGTGCGGGGGGGGGCATCCCAGGGGAGGGGTGGGGCTCCCCATCAGCCGGAGCCCCGAGTGGGAGCAGTGGGCTCCGGAGAGAGGGCCTGGCTGCCCCTGGGAGGCAGCTGTCCAGGCCTTCTGCGGGGGGTCCCTGCTAGGCCCTGCGTGTGGGGTGCCTTGTGGGGAGCCCACCCTCTGGGGCCTGGCTGCAGACTTCACGGGGCCAGCACCTCCCACGTTGAGGTGGGGGACGGGGAGAGGGCACAGGGACCCTCAGGGGACCCACAGGGCCCATCAGTGTGGGGTCGGGGGGCTGGCAGGGAGCAGCTGGGCCCGGGGGAGAGTGGCCGGCCCCCACGCAGGACAGAAGGGCGCTGGTCCTAGCCATTCAGCACTTTCGAGACATCACTGCATTGTCTTCCATTATATCTGCTGAAAATTCTGCTTTCTCTCTTTCCATCCCAATTTTTCCTGGGTACTTTTAAAATTTCAGTTTTCAGGGGTACCTGGATGGCTCCGTTTGTTAAGTGTCTGACTCTTGATTTCCACTCAGGTCATGATTTCACAGTTTGTGAGTTTGAGCCCCGCGGCTGACAGCGTGGAACCTGCTTGGAGTTCTCTCTCCCTCTCTCTGCCCCTTCCTCCCCCGCCCC